TAAAATTTTGCCTATCTACTTTAGTTTAAGACAAATTGCGTATCTATTAGATAATACTATCACATTAGTGATCTATCTCTGTATCAGTGGGACGGTTATTAGAATAAAAATGACGTTTTATTAATAATTACCGAATCGCATTCGACAATCTGTTACATCTGCTTTTCTTTTTATACTTCAATTCATGCTTAATTTTTTATTATTATTACAATGGAAGCATGAAAATTCGTTTTCTTTTCACTTTTTTAATCACCACAAGATTCATGTAATCTCTTCTTTTTTCATTGTTCTTTTTTTGTTATTCCTCTTTATTTCGCCACGTCTTAATATGCACAATAGTAGCCAATAGTGTCATATTGTATATTAACAGACGATGCAAAAGTATAAAGATTATACTAGATCCCTCTTTTTGACATTGCTCCTAATTATAAAAGCAGGTTAAAGTGGAACGATAAGACAACAATGAACATACGATAATCCATCGATGTTAGTAAACTCACCGTTGATTAGTCGCGCGTATTTCGGATCCGCGGCACTATCAACGAACGCGAACGCAAGAACTAGAACGACGATTACCGCCGACGACGCGATACTGTTACTCATCCTCGCGTAAATATCGCGCGGTTTCATAAAATCGCGCTACCACATGTGTTCGTCGAAACGGAATTTTTATGTAACGCAGAATCACACGGACAAAATACGAAAAACTGCTGCTGTCTGAACACTCTGTACCACGGTAATGGCATTTATGATAAATTCTGTTGATCAGAAGATCCCTCACTCCTTCCTACTCTGACATTCTGCCGAAGGCTTTATCTTCTTTGAGCTGTCGAGGGGAGCGAAATTAGATAAAGACACGTATGAAAGTTTACGCGCCGATTATCGATCTTTACAAAGTTACGGTTTATCTCTAAATCTTCGTTAAATCTTCTGCTTCTGATTTAAAAACGAATATTCAATGATTATATATCGAATTTGTCAGCAAAGTTTTTTTTATAAAAAGTTCTCCAGCTTAATAAAGTGGAGGGGAGTCACATGACTTACATGACTTTTTTTTATCATACTATGAAAGCACAAAGAAGGCAAAATTGCAATCTTCTGAAAAATAAATAATAAATAATATTTAAATAGTAAAACTGTAATTTGTTATTCAAAAATATTCTTTATAATAAAAATAAATATTTATTTGGAAAATATTTTTAAAACATAATTATACTAATTATTTAAATTATTTTAATTTAATTTAGATAAGAATGATGAATATATTCTTACATAAAATTGATAAGCTAAAACTTCATTATTTAATTCCAAAATGTTCTTATAAACTCTATTCTTTTATATCCGTACATCTCTTCAAAATTCTTATATTTTGTTTACAATTAAATTTAAAATTTTTATAAGAATTCAAGCTATTTTAGAAAATTATTTAAAAAACCTATTAAAAAATTGCAAAAAATTTAGGAAAAATTCCTGTAGTAAAGTATCATCTATTTGATATAATTAATCATTTTTGACAATCTCATGTTCTATCATCATAAAAATAACGTAGATTTATCATAATTATATAATGTCATATAATGTGATATTTAAATTGATCATATTTAAATTGAAAATACGTCATTATTTTCGATGTGTTATTATACCGGTATAAATGAATGATTGATCACTAACAATGTTACCAGTACGTCATCGATTAGTCATTTATCTGATATTATTAGTATCACGATATTATTAAGTATCACGTTGTAAATAAATCGTAGAATGGATAAATAAATGCTTCATTAATTGATCATTAATTAATAAAAAAATAACGTTATTATTATTATTATTATTAGTAGTAGAGATATACCAGATCATAAAATTGCCGAATATTTTTCGGATATCCGATAGAATTTCTCCGTCCTATCTAAAAAAAAAAAGAAAACAGAGGAAAAATAACGATAATAATTTTCTTTCCAACGTGAAAAGAAAAAGAAAAGATGAACTGTGCAAGAAGTTTAGTTGAAAATAATAGAATTCTGTACCAATGACGCGAACTTTCAATATAAAATTTCAGCCAGATATATATATATTATATATTATATATATATATATTAGATGTGGGAAAAAGTTTATGGCGTTTTTTCTATTAGATGGCATTAAAAAAACGCCACGAACTTTTTCCCACACCTAATATAATATATACGAAGGTTGGCTGTTTGATAAGTATCCGTGTTTGACGACTGAGGTGCCTCTGACTAAAAGTCTGTATATCATCGTGTAACGCCATTTTTTGAACGCAAATAAAAATTTCAGACAGCTGTACCGGTTAATTTAGTTTTTATAACAATTGAAAGTTGACGAGTTTGTACTTGTTTGCAATCATGGAGAAAGAGCAATATCGGTCTGTGATTCGATTCCTGTTTTTGGACGGGAAGACGTGTAAAGAAATCAAAGAAAAGTTGCATGCCGTATATAAGGACAATGCACCTTCGATGACTACCATAAGATATTGGTACAACGAATTTAAGCATGGCCGAAACATCCATTTTTGATGAAGACGACCCAGGTCGTCCGATTGAGGTGACTACGGAGGATATGGTTAACAAAATCCATGATATCGTGTTAGCAGACCGCCGGGTGAAGATCAGAGAGATTGCTAACATTGTAAAGATCTCAACTGAATGCATACAAAATGTCCTACACGAAACATTGGGCATGAAAAAGCTATCGGCGAGATGGGTGCCGCGTTTGCTCACAGTGAAACAAAAACGGAATCGCATGACAACTTCAAAGCACTGTTTGGAGATGTTTAAGCGCAATCCGAAAGAGTTTCTGCGGCGTTTCGTCACTGTTGACGAAACATGGATTCACCATTACACATTAGAAACGAAAGAACCGTCTAAACAGTGGATTAAATCCGGCGAATCTGCTCCAAAGAAGACAAAAACGGTACCATCGATCGGAAAGATCATGACCACCGTTTTTTGGGATTCGCGAGGCATCATTTTCATTGACTATTTGGAGAAAGGAAGGACAATCACGGAACTATGCTGATTTATTGAACCGATTCGACGCTGAATTGAAGAAAAAACGACCTCATTTAGCGAAAAAAAAGTGCTCTTTCATGATAACGCACCAGCTCATTCGTCCGCAATCGCCATGGCAAAACTGGTCGAATTACGCTACGAATTGTTGTCTCATCCACCCTATTCTCTAGATTTGGCCCCCTGCGATTTCTATTTATTTCCAAACATGAAAAAATGGCTTAGCGGAAAGCGCTTTGCATCAAATGAGGAAATCATCGCCGAAACAGAGGCCTATTTAAGGAGTTCGATCAATCATATTTTTTAAACGGTATAAAAATGTTGGAATATC